CTGGTGAGGTCCATGTGTATAATCACCTTTTATGTTGTAATAAAATGCATTTGCACTAAATGAGTCATTGGTCTTGCAAAATTGTATCATATGATCGCCAGCATCCTTCATATCACCAAGGTCTATTTTCCAACTACTGACCCTTATTTTTTGTTTCCAACATTTGCATTCCAATCACCAATAATTATAAATACATTTTGATTACATGTTCGATCAATTTCAGATTGAAAAATTTGGTAGAATTCTTCAATTTTATCATCACTGGCTTTAGTGGTTGTAGTATAAATTTGAATAATAGTGGTATTAACTGGTTTTCCTTGTAGGTGTATGGGTATTATCATATAACAAATCGTGCTGTATTTCAAGTAAATCTTAAAATGTTCTTTTGGATGATGAATGCTATGCCATTCGGCTTGAATTTATCTTTTCTAGCATAGTCTACCATATCATTAACAAATTCAAAATGGCCAATACCAGTTGATTTCAGCTCACTAATGTCTGGGATATAGATCTTTATCTGTTCCATTTCACTTTTGACAGTTTCCAATTTTCCTATATCCATAGTATGTGCATTCCATATTCCAGTTATGAATGAATATTTGCAGATGTCTCTCCTCATTTTGAGTTGTGCCCCATCATCAAATTAAGGTACCAAAAACTTTATTCCATTTGCATCATCACAGTCAACTCTATTGTGAAGCAGCAGCTCTTTCCCAGTTGTATTCTGAGTGCCTTTCAACCTGAGGAGCTCATTTTCTGACATTATATCTGACAATATTCTGGTGCTATTTATAATGTTTTCATTTTCTGGCAATGTTCCACTGCTATTCGTAAGGTTTTTCAGTGCCTAAACATTCAGAAGCAGTCTGCTTCTCCTTCTTCCTAGTCTGGAAGCTCATCTGAAACCTGTCCACCATGGATGACTCTACTGATATTTAAAATACCAGCGGCATAGTTTCCAGCATCACAGCAACATGCAAGCCACCACAGTCTGACAAACTGACAGGCGAGTGCTGGAGTAAGACTGATAGGGGAGTCTCAAAGAGTTTCCACAGGAATGAGCTAGAGCCAGTGTCTGAAGTTGGATTAGGAAGCCAGGAATAGGACAATGAGGTAAGATGGTGCTCAAGAAGACTGAGCAGGAAGAGATTATGCTGTTGGCATGCAGTTCAAGGCTCTGAGGCTCAGAGGCTCAGGCACAATGGAGGTGGGAGGAAAACTAATAAATAGAGCCTGGGGCGAAGAAAAGGCCGGGATGGATTCTCAGATCGGGTATTGTTGAAGTAGGGAAGTTTGAAAGTTGAAGGACTAGCAGGTGGTGGTTTTATATTTATAAAGACTTCAGAGATAGACTGGTTGTAATCAACAATGTCTTTGGCATGAGAATGGGTCAGTGATGAGATACAATGGTGAAGGTGCTTGTAATAAGGAATTAAATGTCTGGGAAACTGCAGTGTTGCTCCAATCTTTCTCAAGGGCACTGAAGTCACCCAAGATGATGGTGTGAGTTGGATTCCAGGGAAACAACATAGCTAAGTCCTCAGTGAACATGGAGAAGTGGCCCAAAGAATGACAAACCATCAATGACAAGAATTGAAAGGACAGAAAAGCTAGGTGAGATAAACTTCAAAACAGGAGGGGGTTTTGCATAGTATCTATGTAATGGTGGCAGTGGAGATTAGAAATCATATTTAAAAATTCTCCTGGACCTGCTGTACACTTGTGAGGACTACAAAGGAAGTGGTGTCCTTGAAGTGGGGGCATAGAGTGGAAATTTCCATTTCAGTGAAAGCGGGGAAAAGGAGAGAAGATAGTCTTCACAATATAGTTGTAAAGAACTACATGCTGCCAGGAACTAAGAGGATTGTGCGTCATTTTCCGCTAGGATTATTAAATTAAGAGTTTCCAGGGAATCACAAAAGACTATTGTACTGGCTGGGTATGATTTAATATATTTGAATCTTAAATAAGAAGCCATGAACATAAACATTTAAAACCAAATAGGTAATAAATAATCATTAAGTTATAAAGTACATAGTTCATATTAAAACTAAATTCTCAGATGCAAATGTTAATACAACAGCACAATAATATAGAATAATAATGCTACAATTTTACACAAGTGTCCAAAAAATATACCATCAGCTAAAATAATAAAAATCATGATGATTTTTTTCCTTTTTCCTGAATTCCCATGACCTAGAGCAAGATTGGTGTGTGTGTGTGTGTGTGTGTGTGTGTGTGTGTGTGTGTTTTAGGAACTGTCCCCTGGTTTCTGAAGTGGGTTTTGCTACAAATGCTATTGAAATAATATTAGGCAATTGAACATGAGATTCAACAGGAAGTATTACTCACAAGTATGGATAAGAGTACTCCAAACAACTTATTCCTTAGAGATTAAGTTAAACAGAAACAGAAAAAGGATAAATAAAAAGTTTGAGCAACTAACCACAATTTCACAGCCAACAAGAATTCAGATCAACTGTCCATATGTCCATATGGTGAACAGTGAGGTTTATAGATTATCTTGATGGTGGTGGTTGTGTGCCACCAAGTTGATTTTGACTCATAGTGACCCCGTATAGGCTTTCTGGGGCTATAAATCTTTATGGGAGAAGAAAGCTTCATCTTTCTCTCATGGAGCGACTGGTAGATTTGAACTGCTCACCTTGCA